CTCAGAGACTCAGTCGTCCAGTGCTAGGGTCTAGTCGGCGTTGGAGGCACAGGCGTAGGGTGTAGGAAAACCGGCCTCTGCCTATCGTGCGGTCTTGGGAGCCAGAGGAGGCCGTGACCCGAGAAAGGTGCGGGACTGAAGCCTCAACCTTCCCCACTTAAGGCATTCCTGCGCCACAGTCCAACCTCCCCGGAGGGGCGCGGCTTCGAACTTAGCTTCTGCCCAATCCGCGAGGGTCTCCCCGTGACTTTGCAGCCAAGGAAGTTGCTTGACCCAGATGCCCCGCAGCGAACGATTCAGCCAGAGCCCCACATCTCCCTTAGGGACCTCCGCCCACCCTACCCTCAAGCTAGGATGCCCGGAGCGGTCCCCGGAAATGGGGTGGCTCAGATGATTTAACTCATTATTTAACACGCCCGCAGGGGGCGTGTCCTGCCCGAGGGGTCAAGCCTCGACGGACGTTATCTGGACTTAGTCCCTTCCCCTCGATACCGCAGCTGAGTGGGCGTGTCTGGGTTAGTCCCGCCCCCACATTGCGGACAGAAGTAATAAGTGGGAGCCAGCCTGAGTCTGGACCCCTCGTAGTGGGCTTACTGGGGGTCACGCCCCTCCAGATAAAGACCTTCCACAACTCACACGCGTCTACCCCTTCTCATGCCAGTGATGGCCTGGAAGAAGGTGGAAGGTGCTCAGGAGCCCTGCAGTCTTACCTGGAGCATCTACATCCTTGGAGGTCCCGAGCTCGGCTCCGCCCCGATCCAGGGGGCGTGTCGGGGTGGGGCTGGCCCGGCCGACTCCCACTAGCGCCGGCTTCAAGCTGGCGGAGCGGGAGTTCTGGGGGCTGTAGGCTTTCGGCACGCTGTGGATGCCCGGCAAGGGCTTCCAGGGGAGCCACCCCAGGGCGCCTCCAGCGGGCGGAAGCGGTCGAGCCGGCGGAGCGGGTGCAGCGAGGGGCTGTAGGACTCCTGAGCCAGAGTCAAGGCCCCGCGGTGCTGCGGGAATCCCTCTCCTTCGGCCTCTACAGCCATGTCGGCCACGGCCCTGGCACCCCGACTCAGAGTCAGAGCCCTTCCTTCCACCCACGCCAGGGAACTTCAGTTTCCTTCCTCAAACCCGAACCCTTCCTTCCCAGCTTCACCTCTCTAAATCCAAGCACCTCCTGCTGCTCAAGGAACTCAAACCCAAGCCCCCAGTTACCAAAAACAACCTCCGTGGTTCCGCTCCCGGTCTTAAACCGTCTTGGTGTGGCCACTGGAGCTGAGCTCTCCCACCTCCCATCCGACCCCGTCTCAGAATATTCTAGTCTCATCCCCACCCACAGTCCGCCCTCTAGCTCCGCAGCAGCTTAGGAGCCCTGAAGGTGAGTTTCCAGCCCCCGGTCCTGGCCTGGCCTCGAGGCCCAGCCCCCCACGGTGGTGGTCTGCGACTTGTGAGGGGCTGGGGCCCGACGTATTCGGGGGCGCACGCGTCCTGGTCGGGAGAGCCGGTGTACTGCGCCCTCCTCTCGCTGCGCTGGTATTTTGTGGTCAGTGGGAGGCCGCAGCCGCGGTATCTGAGGTGCCGAAAGGCGGCCTGGAGACCCTTGTGAAGGAGCAGGGGACTCAAATGCAGTCTCCCGTCCTGTCCCCTGAGGACTCCGGCACTCCCCAAACCTTAACTTTTCTCTCCATTCCTTGATCCCCACAGTCCGCGTGGGGTCTGCAGGTTCTGGGCTCTGGGCTGGTCGCAGGGCCCGCCATGGGTCTTGGGCACGTAGGCCGAGCCAGAGGTTGTCTCCCATCTGCTGAGGACCTCGTCGAAAGCCCAGATGCGAGAATCC